TTCCCCCCAAGTCTCAGGCAGCTCCAGCTGACTTTCCAGATACATCCAGGGGCCTACCATCACAGAGGGCTGATGCTGCACACAACACACAACCTGCCTGATCGACAGCCTCAGCTGTAACCATGGGCAACAGCAACATCAGCACTGCCCTGGCTTGTGAAGGGGAGATCTTGGCAGCTGACTCAGAAGGTGCCAAGGGTCATTTTATCTTTCCTGGCCAAGCCAGGCCTGAAACTGCTAAGAACAAGACACCATACTCGTTGTCGCCATTACAGTGAAAGTGAGAAAGCTGTAACTGAGGGAGTCATAAATGACTCCATTTACTGTGTTTTTTTTTTTTTTTTTTTGGACAGGCAGAGTGGACAGTGAGAGAGAGACAGACAGAGAGAAAGGTCTTCCTTTTGCCGTTGGTTCACCCTCCAGTGGCCGCTGCGGCCGGCGCACTGCGCTGATCTGAAAGCAGGAGCCAGGTACTTCTCCTGGTCTCTCATGGGGTGCAGGGCCCAAGCACTTGGGCCATCCTCCACTGCACTTCCGGGCCCCAGCAGAGAGCTGGCCTGGAAGAGGGGCAACTGGGACAGAATCCGGTGCCCCGACTGGGACTAGAACCCAGTGTGCCGGCGCCACAAGGCGGAGGATTAGCCCATTGAGCCACGGCACCGGCTCCATTTACTGTTGCCACAAAACTGCAGGAGGATGAGGGTCATTTTAAATCTTCCCTTCTAGCAGCTGCTCAATTTCTTGGGAGAAGGTTTCAGCAGAGGTGAACAACTTTTAATTAATGTCATTAATGGGCTTAATGAGACAGAGTGGGGGCTACAGGTGTAGTTGATAAATGTGATTCTCTTGGTCTTAGCCATGAATATCCAGTACAATGAAAAGTTACAGCTTCTTGAGAAAGTAGGTATTTCACAACAAACTTTCCCATGAGCATGAAGTTTTGTTTTGAATAATCACCGTATTTACAAAATAAAAAGACACGTGATAGACTTCTAGACAATATCTGGCAAAAGTTTGACATAACCTGTTACTACGTTTTAATATAACCATATTTTTGTGAATAAGTATTTGATTTTATGGTATTTTTACAGCAGTCTGAATTATTAAGTAAATATATAAGCTCATCTTAACATATACCATCTTAAAATAGACATTTTCTTTCTTACCCTTAATTTTGTATCCATCCTTCTGTCTCTATCCATCCATATGTGACAATATTTGAGCACATAATACAGCATTCATAGAGATTGTAACTTTTAATAATCAGAATTATTAATCTACCAGGTAGAAACTTCCTTCAACAAGGGCAGTAGTTAGAATTCTAATTGCTCATAGAAGAGATCCTTAATTAATTAATTTATTTAAGGTTCATTTGTTGAGTGGCGTCAATGTGAGCAGACCCAGGTTCTGTGGGGTTGGGACAAGATGTCATATCTCTTAACATCCTGATGCTTGCAGTTTACTGAAGGGAAACAGACACAAACAACTAAACGAGTAAGGAAATAGCAGGTGCTACCATGGTGCTCTTTGAAAATACTGAACTAAGGCACAAATGGGAAGGAGACACGTATGACAGTTTTTGGAAAAGCAAATGCGTAGGGGCCGGTTCTGTGGCATAGCAGGTAAAGCCGCCACCTGTGGTGCCAGCATCCCATATGGGCACTAGTTCGTGTTCTGGCTGCTCCACTTCCGATCCAGCTCTCTGCTATGGCCTGGGAAAGCAGTAGAAGATGGCCCAAGTCCTTGGGCCCCTGCACCCATGTGGGAGACCTGGAAGAAGCACTTGGCTCCTGGCTTCAGATTGGCACAGCTCCAACCGTTGTGGCCAATTGGGGAGTGAAGACCTCTCTCTCCTTCACTCTCTCTTTCTCTCTCTCTCTGTCTCTCTCTCTCTAAGTCTGACTTTTAAATAAATAAATCTTAAAAAAAAAAGAAAAGTGAATGTGTAAATTCAATCATTAAATAACATCTTTAAAAACTTAAATGACATCATTACACTAAGCAATGCCATTATCAGCAGCAAACTAGGTATTAGAAAAAATGTAGGTGTAAAGGTCAAAGAGTTTGGGGAAAATCATCAAGCAGGGGATTGGAGTTCTGGCACTGATACCCACCAGGTACTTGACCTTTGCCAAATCATCTTGCAAAGACTCACTGTGTTTGTGTGCAAAACAGGAGTAGCATTGCTTGCTTTCCAAAAATGTTGTAGATAAAAAGAACTTACGTGCATTGGTATACTGCAGAGATTAAACCCAACTGAAATCTACCTTCTTTCTCACATCTTTCAGTCTTGAGAAAGTCAGTTTACTTTTCCAAATATCTTCATACTTCTTTCGCTTCCCTATCATCCACTGGCCCTACCACCAACTGATACTGCCGAAGTCAGTTTTAGAACTCACAAAGTGAAAGAACAGGGAGAAGCAAAGCCCCCGTGTTTTTCCATCCAAAGGCCTAGTAAGTGGTGCAAGTGATAACAATTACTATGATTATTATGTTACACATCAAGCTGATCCCATTGTGGGTTACCTCTATTACCTTCCACTCATTAGAAGTGACATGCTTCCACACATACAGCAGGTGTCAACTAAAGAGTGAGAGATCCCACTGCAAGACAGAAGATGCAATGGATGGACTCAGAGGCAAAGGAGTGAGAGCAAGATGGGCCTGGGTCTCCTGTCCCAGGTCTCCTGGAACATAACTGGTCTTTATAGTGAATCTCTTCTTCCACTTCTACTGAGATTAATGGGGCCTAGTGTAGCTTGCTGAAAACTGGGGGACAATTATTTTAAGCCAGGATGTCAGTGGTCTCTCAGGCACTGGCAGTAGCTTACCTGGACAAAGGTGAGAGGAGCCAAAGTCCATGAAGATGGGGTAAGAATAAGTCAACATAGTACTGCCATGACCATTTGTGTGCCACATTCTAACCTATGTCCTTTGAATTCTGTCAAAAAGCCAAGACAGTTGGGCACAGAACAAGAGGAAAGAAAATTTAAAGAGAAACCAGAGAAAGAGATGTCCACATGGTGATTCTGTGTGAATGCCATCGTGTGCCACATCTCTGTTTGGATGCTATGACTTGAGTCCAGCCATTAACAACCACATAATCTCATTAAGCTCAGACATGATCCCTGGCAGGCTGTGACCTGGGAATATCTGCTAGGAGTGAAGAAATCACTGGGCCCTGGTCCTGAGATTGGCACCGTTCCTTAGGGAAAGACAGGCGTGGCCACTGGTGAGGCACAGCCAGGCCATGGTAGCTCATCTGCTGCCACACCCATACTCTTAAGCATTTGACCAGAGAGGGATCTCACCCCACCACAGAGGATCCACATCAGCTTTAATAAATGCTCCTTTCCTACCACATGGCTATCTTACCTGTGGTCTACAAACTTGAAGACTGAACTTGAGAATCAAGGTAAGTTAGGTTTAAACAGCTGACTGAGGACAGCTGGACTCCAGACAAGCCCCACTCCAAAGCCTGCATTTGTGACTACAGTGGCTAACCTGGAAACACCCCAAGGCCCTTCTCCACATCCTGATTACAATCATGAATGTGATGGTTCTTTACTTCACTCCATGGTTTCACATTTTACTGATCATATGAAAAGTAGAAAGAAAAGTGGCAGAGAATCATCATATCAAAATTGGGATTTATAATATTTATAAATTTATATTTATATGTTATATATTTATAACATACTAACTAGCCTGCCAAAGAGCCTCACAGAAAAATCAAACAAGAAAAAACTGAAACTGCAAAATAGAATAGTATGGAAAAACATTATTTCTAATAAATACTGATATGTTCTTACTGCTAGTACTGTTTTTTTCTACAATGCTACAGTTTTCATAATACGAATACATACCATGGAAAACCCATCAATTTACAACTAATGCTACTGCCCATTCACAGAAACAGCCAAACAAAATCTCCTTTAGTAAACGCAAGAGTATTGAAAATAGCCTTTAGTATGGAGTTTTATAAAACAAGGACTCATCAGTGGGTTGCAAAACTACAGAAACATTGCTAATAACTGAATTATTAAATCATTAATGGAAAAATGTAGGCAAAATGAGAGAACATTTATGACCATGCTTGCTTAATTCTTTATTTTGAATAATCATTGTGAACTACTCAGTTCAAACAGTAAATGATGAGCTGACAAAGCAGTGTAAACACATCTAAATTTCATAAATGGACTTACTTGTATTCCCTACTATTGACATTAGCCCAGGTTTGATCATTAGCAAGTGAGCAATATTTTCCATCAGTCATGTTTATAAAAGTCTGTATTTGGACCTTCACATGCAAGTACACACAACAGGCTTCATGGAAAGAAGGGCAAAATCCTTTCATTCCGCAGTGAAGTTGTATGGTCAAAATTCAGGCCTCTTAAACTAAACTAAAAAATATTTCATTGGGAAAAAAAGGAAACATTCATTTGCCAGATTTCCTCTGAACACTCTGCCTTCCAATGTCATTTGCACTGAATTTCTATTAGACTAAAAATCCTGCTAACTTTTCCTTTCTCTCTCCAGTGGACTCCTTGCCCTTCATAGTTATAGGACAAGACTTTCGCCATGACTGTTGTTTATATTTCTGTTCCTGCTCTGCACGTGTGTTACGCGGCCAGCCACGGAGTCCTCATTTCTCTAGAGAACTAATATTAGTGAGAGAAGATAAGATTTGCTACATCTGCTATCTCTAAGAAGTGGATTTCATCACAACTGAATAACCACTATTTCAACATGTGGGCTTCTGACTGATGTCCACCTCCCACCCCCACACCCCCCAGAAAAAAAACATGGCCCCCAAACTGTCTTTGCATAAGTTCATTGCCATGATATTTGATCTGCATCCTGGTGCAGACACAGTGGCATGCTGTTTTATTCTTTCTCAGAGGCACTTGGTACTGCAAATGCATCACTACAGGTGCAGTCAAGTGCTGGCATTTTATTTTTTTTAAAAAATCACATAATGGATTCAGGAAAATACATACCTGATTGCACTTGCAGATAAGTGACCATAGGAGCCACTTGCTGAAGAGCTGCTACGGGAATTATTGAGAATCGTGACCAAGGAGTTGGGAGACGTCCTTATCATGGTCTGAAGGTCAAAGCTATGATCGGACAGTGGTGATATGGACAGTGTGCGTTTTCGGCTCGGCCTGGCTGACAGCCTGGGGCTGGGGAATCTGGTGCCTGTTATACAAACAAAACAGAACCTGATTACCTGCAGTTGGACTCTATACCTGTTATTGATTGCTACTCGCCTGCGTGGAAGAAGAGAAGGATAAGAAGCCGGCAACTCATGGTGACAGGCCCCTCTCCTCCCCCTTGTGGTCTATGGGCTACAATTGAGGAAATTAGGGAGAAATATTTATCTTCCAGGGGCTTACCTCGGGGGAGCTCTGTTTATTAATGTGCAGGCAAAATGATAAATTGCTAAACAAAAGGGAGAGACTTTTATGTGTTATCCCTCTCATTTCTAGTGATTTATGAATCTGACGGCTGCTTAGATATTCCCATCATTAATTCACCACAAGTGACAAAGACAGTGGTTCCCACAGTTGCTACTCCGCCCTCCCCATCCCAACACATACCGTTTTAAGTCACCGAGCCAAAGGAAAAACAGGGAACTGAAGTATCAGAAGAAACGAAATTCAGCTCAGTGATGCCCTCATTGCCCTGTGATTTCTGCAGTTATCTACTCGACAGCATACTTAAAGCATTTCTAAAATAACTAGTGGATATATTACCCCAAACTGGTGGTTCTCAACTGGGGGCAATGTTGTCCCCCAGGGGAAATTTGGTAACATCTGGAGACGTTTCTGGTTGTCACAACGCAGGGGCACAAATGGCTTTTAGTGAGTAGAGGCCAGGGATGCTGAATATCCTACAATGCAGAGAGCAGCCTCCCACAATAAAGATGATCTCAACCCAAAAGTGTCAACATTAAAGATCTCTGGCCCCAATTCTGGATAATCTAAGAGCACACATCCCACAAAATATTTAAATCTTGGGGTGCTGTGTGTTCACAGGTTTTCCAAGGTGGAGGTAGAAACCCCAGAAAACACGGTTATGAAATGTGATGTGCCCACAAGGCATTGTAATCCTTCTCTAGGTCTTGTTTCTCCAGGAAGATTTAACAGAGGATAACATAGATTGAAGATTTTAGGCTTCAAGAAAATTCCAAGGAAGTCCTAGTCTGGAGGTTACTATTGCAAACTTAAATATTTGCCAACCCAACACAATGCTTTTTACCTGAGGAGTTGAAAATTAAATGCCCATCTGCATTCTAATTTGGAAGATAGGGGAGATGTGAAATTCAGAGCACAGGGAGGACCATGAGCCACAGATCTACTCCCATCTTTGTAAAGGTCCTATTTACATCACAGAGTTGTCAACATACATTTGATGAAACAAACAGAACAGAATCCCAGTAGATAAGAGGCAAATCAAACACTATTATTAGTATCAGGCAAAAATGGAAGCTTCTATTGCCTTATAGCATGGGTATACTTGCTTACAGGGGCACAGAAAATTGACTATGTCCAGAAATCTAAATAGTAGGTAAGCCCTACTTATAGAAAAAAAAAAAATCCAGGCACTTCGTCTTCAAAAAATTCACTGGGAATTTAACAGAGACCTTGATACAGATAATAATCCAACACGCTTTGAGCAATTTAATGAAATGGGATACACAAATATGTAATATTTTATACTATAACACAAACTAGAAATAAGTGTCATCCATATATAAAAACTGGAAAATCAATTTGAATATGTGGTATCTATTCAAACATCTCTCTCAAGTCTATTTAATAGGAATTGCCTCATTTTGAATAGTTTTATTAACAGCCTGATTCAGGGCGCATTAGCTACCACCACCATGAACACGTTTTTAGGTATTTAAGTCAGCATCTTTCCCTTATGGTGTCCACCTCCAACATAACTGTGTCACATTTACTCATTCTGAGAGGCTAATTTCATCATAGAGACTTTTCACTGATGACACACATGAATGACACTTACAGATATTCCAAGAAAGAAAAACAACATATTTATCGTCAATTGCATGTGATCCTGAACCACAGCCCTTCTCTGTAGGACTTAGCAATCATTGGCAGAGTCAGAAGAAACAGGGAGATCCCGGACAGTGTGCATGCCTGGACCATCTCTAGGTTTCCAAATCACTAACCAGCAGTGACGCAGAGATGAGGAGGTTATCTGATGCTCCTAGTATCACATCAAGACAGAGCTCAGGTGCCTGGCAAGACCTTCTTATCCCCATACAATGCTTCAGGTGCAACACAGCCTTTTCAGGACATCTCCTCTCTGCTTTTCCCTAAAAGATCGGCTCTTATTTAAGTAAACTTCCAACAAAATAAATAATTAGGTTTTCAGGGGCCTGTCTCTAGGATGTTCCAGGATATCATATTCTTTTATCTTCTAAAAAGGTCACTCAAATCCGAGAAGGTAGATTTAGAACCATACACAGGCTTGTTTATTCTTACGTGCTACTATAAATACTCTACCTTACATCTTGCTGAAACCCATATTTGCCCACTGCTGGCTCACTTAAAAGTCACTAGTTCATTTGAAACCAGTTCATTCAGGTTTCTGCCAAGTAGAGTACTGAAGATTTGCTAATAATCAATTGGAATGATCAGTTACATCCCAGTTTGGATCTGCCCTTGTGGGTGGCAACGTGGTAACTAAAGATCAGTGTTTCCCTCCTCCATTGGAAAAAAAAAATCCCCTACGACTTCACTTTCCCACTATTCATCTTCTCATATTCTATGTAAATGCTACTTCAATTATTTCAGAGGGAAGGAAGACGCTGCCCTACACTCTGTACTATGCTCTTCCCAACCCCTAATAACCAAGCAAACAAAAGAAAGCGTTTTGGCACAGTGATTGGGAGCCCCTGTTCAGTGAGCTGCTGAGACACACACCGGAGAGCATTTCCAAGACAGCTCCAGGAGCAGCAGCTCAGCTCTTCCCTGATCACAGCACTTTCTGCTCACGCACAAGCCAGAGCGTTTTCATTGTTCTAGCAACACAAATATCTCCAATCTGGCTTTCTGCTAATTGTTTTGTTTCTCTACTCTAATAAAAAATTCTGACAAAGAAAAAGGAGGTTTCTTTTTATGTGATGAATGATAGGACATCTAAATTCCTACTTAATGACAATCAATTTACCATATACTCAGGCAAATTAAAATTCCTTTAATTAGTTTTTACAAAGTAAAAGGGTAGCTTCATCCTTTATTTAGATAAAAACCGCCACTGCCTGACTAAACACATTCTCATCAAATAGAGAAAGTAATGTGGGCTGACCTTCCAAGGGTTCTCTCTTATTTTAATTCTTTATTTGCGGATTTTAAATAACTAATTTGCATAATAACAGTCAACTTTTTTTCCCAACAATCGCTAATTGAAATGTGGTTATGATGAATCTGAAATGTAAGCTGTCTACCCTACAAAGACAAACAAAACCTCTGCAGAAGATTTAACGCAGTTCTTTCACTTTGTGTGTGGTAACGAGCTCCCCAATGGAAACCAGTGCAGATTATCTGTTCTTGTGGGAGACAGGAAGGTGGCTCTTGGTGGCAAGGAGACTAAGGCTCGGTCACCTTCCTCTATTCCAAATCTCAGGACTGAATTACTAGAGAGTTGACTAATGCACACTCTCTGTCATAGAAGAATCCAAACAGATTGCAGATGGAAAAGCCAAAGATCAACACTGCTAACAGCAAAAACAAACACGACTGCAAGGATACTCCCTACTCAACGTCATACTGTGCTCACTTTGGAAAGGCGTGGATTTGTTCATGTGTGACTCAGCTGATGCTCTAGGCTCACCTCCTGGCATCTTGCAAAGGGATGTGGACTTCAAAGATGCGGATAAATGAGAACTCTGGGTGTTCTGAAGAACAGCCATCATAGGCCGTCTGTCTCTGACCAAAGGAGTCATCATGTGCCTTGAGGGAGTCCAAAGTAACCGAACATGAACATGAAACCAATGATCCCATTTCCTTCCACTGCTTTTGCACTGCAAGTAGCTCTTTTTGATACAGAAACAGGTTTCTTTTTTCTAGATGTATCTATTCTGACCTCTCATGTATTCAGTAGCTATAAAGGTCTTAGGGAATAGACTCTTTTAAATGTGAAGAAAACATATAGGGCCAAATAAATGTGATATAAAAAATGTACATTAAAGGATTAAAAAAAAACTACCTAATGTACATCATAAAATACGAGAAACCAAAGGGTGACCTTACAGAATCCATCCATGAATCTGATTTATTCCCTTGTTTCGTTATCACAAGAATCAGGGCAGCAGCAGTTTTGCACTCATTAAATTCACAGATACCTCCCACATCACAACTGCTCCCACCTGCCAGTTCTCTGCTGGAGCCCTCCCCCTGCCCAGCCAGACACAGTCACAGGATGGTCCAACCTGCGGCAGCTGCTTAGAGGACCCAGGGAAGCAGAGCACCAAGTACAGGTGCTGCTCCCTTCTCTGAGCTGAAAAGTCTGATCCCCGCATTCCATGTCAGCACTCTTCACCCCCTCCCCACCTCCAGGACTCCAGGGGCAGCCCAGTCACTTACTATCCATGGCATGAAGGTACTCCATGTGGATGGCCCCTGCACTGGCGGTGGCCGCCGACGGAAGGATGTCTGCATAGGGACTGCGCTGGCCGGCGAGCAGGGCCATCTGGTGATAGTATTCCGCAGGGCTGACTCCAGCATGCGGGGCTGCACAGGGACACAGAAAGGGGTGGTTACACTCGGAAGGAGATCCGCTGCCACTGCTTCTCCAAGGCCCAACTGTCTTGCATCCCAGTAAGCGGCTCTTTCTAAGTAAGGCTCACTACAAGAAGGCTCCTCTAACTCAAAGGGTGCTCTCACTGATGTCCGTTTGCCATCTTTTACTTTCCAATAAAACTGAAGGAAAGGAATACAAAACATGAACAAAGTTTACGATGTTTATCTAAAGAAACCATTAAGAATTCAAAATGATCACAATACATCTGTACATAATCAGGTTTGGCCCCCAAAATCAAGTTTCTTACAGCAAATCGCTGTATTTGCACATTTCTTACACCAGTAGACAACCCAGACAGCTATGATATCTTAACCAGACATACTTCAAACATCTCCTGAAGCTCTCTGACGAGCAAGTCTGAGTTAACTTTCACTAACACGAGGAGCCAGGGCTTAGGAGTGGGAAAGAGGGCAGCACAGTTTAACAACAAGCAGCCGAGTGATAAGCTGCAATGTCATGTTCCGTAATTTAAAAGCTCTCTCTTCCTTTTCCTCATTAGAAAATCAAAAAGAAAATACACCCATCAATCTGGAGCAATTTACCAGCAAGAGTCAGCCTTCTATGAGTGGGATAATTACTGGTTTCTACCCAGCAAGCTACGTGCAAAAGCAGCAAGAGAGTGCAGTGCTTCCAAGGGTGGCCTCCAGATACACAGAGATCTGTCTGGATTCAAACTGGCTTCATGAGGTTGTGCAGGAATTAAAATCAGAAGAGATGCAGGGAAAGTCCTCAGCACATAGCAGTTGATCACTTAAAGCTAGTCTTACAAATATTATCTGGAACATCAGTGTCCCAGCAGGCCTGTGGGTGTTTCAGATGTTTCTCCCATGATACATGGCAAGGATACAGATATTAAAAAAGGAAACTTAAGACAATAAGAGAGAAATATTAGTGATGTTGCTCTATTTGATCAGCTGTTGACTGCATACTTAAAGAGGCGGGAAAAGGAAGGCAGGTCAACCGAGGAATGTTTTATTCATACTCAACATCAAGTGCTATCGAAAGTGGGTGCTAAGTACGCTTTTCAGATCAACTAATGGTGCCACTAACCAATGGCCCAAATAGCTTTCTGCCAGCTGGGCAGAACTCCAAATCCAGTTTTAGCTGGCCTCCCTGCCTCTCTACCTGGTCTCCTTGTCATTTTCACCAATTCCCAAGTTTTCCATGGGGAGAACTCCATTTCTACCACTGCAAAACCAGGTCTGAAACAGAAGAATAAACTTGACCCTCTTAGAGTTGTATTATTAAAATAGGAATTTTGCGTAAGTAGCAAAACTTATTCCTTTAGTATCTTATAATTGTATCTACTGCATTGAATCAGAAGAAGGAAAAAAGAAGTTATTGCTGGAAGAAGTTATTCCTGGAAATACAACTGAATGGGTGTCTCCCCAGAAACTTCATGAACTTCACACGGTGCAGGACCAGCTTCAGGAAACAGCCTCTGTGAAGAATGTGGAGGGTGCCTGGAAGTCGGGTGGCCTCACTAGTCAGTGAAACGAAGTGCATGTTGTTTCTTTTGTTCTGAAACAAGCAGCAACATCTTGTGATCTGTTGCAAAGAACTCATAACCTGCTACCTGCAATTAATAAGACTTATGCAATTCTGGTCTTAATTCAGATCCCAGCAATTGTGGGCAAGTGAATTTGTATATGCATGCATGAGAGGGGAAGTCATTTCCTGAATCAAAGGAATGGGTTATAACTTGACAGCAGGGGAACACAGAGCTCCAATTAAAAAGAGTTATATGAAATGCAATTAATTGTGAGGCTAATGGAACCAACAGGAATATGATCCTTGGGAACCTAAAATGACTATCCAGTATTATAGAAATAAAGTCTAAGTTTCTTTTCATTCCCACCATATTCCTCTTAGATTCTTCATTTGGCATGGCCAAGGACAGAAGCACATGCAACAGGTTCACATCATGATGTTTTTTTTAGACCTTGCTACCCAGAGTGTGGTCTATGGACCAAAAGACCTGACGTCACTCGGTAGAATTTCAGAAGTGCAGAATTACAGGGCACACCATGCCCACTCAGTACAGAACTGCATTTTGTCAGGCTCCCCAGATAAGGCATCTGCACATAAGAGCTGTGAAGCATTGCTCTATTATACACACCGTATAAATGTGCCTCTCAGAAGACACACAGAACAGAACAGTATTCAGGATGTGGGGAGAAGAGTGCTCAGGTTATTCCTGCACGTGTGTGAAGGGCTGCAGGGCCAGTCTAACTGGATGTGGGGTAGCAGAACAGAACAACGATGAAGACACTGTGTTTGCGAGTCAGTAGATCTAGATCTGAGTTCCTCCTCTGCCACTGACTGACAATGGGATCACCGACCAGGGTGCAATTTCCTAGACCCCTCTGCACATGGCTACCCTTAACTCAAAATGCAGATATACATTGGTCATCACTAATCTGAAAATCTGAAACCTGAAATGCTCAGATGTCCAAAACACTACTTGACTTTACAAGTGGAAAATTCCAAACTTGACCTCATGTGACAGGTTGCAGTTCAAATGCAGAAATTAAAGACATTGTATGAAATTATCTTCAGAGAATATGTATATGGTATATATGAAAAATACATTAATCTATGGGCCTCATTCCCAAGATATCTTATTATGTTTGTGTGAATATTCCAAATTCTGAAGGAATCCAAAACCAGAAACACTTCGGGACCCAAGGATTCCAGATGAGGGATACTAAACCTGCATTGACACCACCTGCACAGAGGCGTTGGACACTGCTAGAAAACCAGGCACTCAAAGCACGCAGCCCAGTATCCGGAGTATGGGAGACACCCACTGAACGGAAGATGTTCAGTGAGTTACGTGGTGTCCTAGGTGAGGTGTGGGGAGGCGGTGGTGGGACCTGTGGAAGCAGAAGCAGAAGCAGTCTGAGACTTACCATCTGTAGGGCTCAGCCCCCGGGCTGCCGAGATCATGGAGAGGGAGGGGCTGCTGTGCAGGGACCGGATGTAGTCCATATAAGGGTTAATGTAGGGATGTGGCGGGCTGAAGGGAGATTCAGAGGCTGCAGGGTTCCGATGTGGGGAGATCCTAATGAAGGGCAGGTCTGAATACGTCGGGCTACTAGATAAGGCAGAAGGCCTGGGGACAGAGAAAACCAGACACAAGAGGTACACGTGAGACACGAATCTCCATGGGCAAAGCATGTCTGCAAAAGAAAATAAGGTTGTACGTGAACTCAAAGTGTTTTAGCAGGAAAATACAGGGCATACACTTGTATGCAGGAATTCCAAGCATTTTTTGTAACAAAATACACTTATCTTTTAATTCCATTTTCCACAACTTTTGAATGTACCTTCACATATTTCCAGTTAGACTTCCTTAAAATCAGGATGCTATAAAGCAGGCAGAACATTACTATGCAGTTATATGGATAAAGAACACTGACTTCGAGAAACTTCCTTGCACTCCAAATATGGGGAGATACAGGTTCACCTTTGAGTCTCCTAAGGAGAAGAAACTAAGACAACTTCCAGTGCTTGCTACCACTCAGTATAATACCATTTGACCCAGACATTAAGTTATCATTTAAAACTTACCCCTTATTGTCATGAAGTTTCATAAAAATAGAAACAAAGAAAGAATGCAGCCTCAAATCCTTCTTGGTCTGCCCATAAAGAAGAGAGATGACTAACTTCAGAAGTCTGTAATTACAAATGTGAACTCAGCCCCCCAGATATCCATGCACATGCTGGACTTCCAACAGTCTGGCTGTGCTGAGTGAAGCCAACTTCACAGATCTGGGCTGCACTGATGAGAAGGCAGCACTTGTACCCGCCTTCGGCTCTGCCTGTTTTTCATGAGCATCCCCATAACCATGTCCAGGGAGCAATGAATAACTACTCTTGAGGTCTGAAAGTTGGCAAAGAAGGGTGTTTTTAATAAGCTCATGGCTTGGTTATAATGTGCCGAGAGAGAGAGAAGGTATGCTTTTGGCTAATGGAAATAAGTGCTAAATTGTACCTTGTGTCTGTCATATCCTGATCAACTCTTTGATCTTCCTTCACTTGTCCGACATCCTGCAGCCACTGCTGAAGTCCCTGGGGACAGCCATTTCTAGACTGTAACACCATTGCTGTCTTGTTCCTTCTCTAATAGAAAATGTTTTGTGTGGATAATCCAGTGAACTGGCTGTGACAAGTTAAACACTGGCACTCTCTTTCTCATTCACAGAGGGTACGGCCATAGAAAGGAGAGGGTCTGATGGAGACAGATCAACTGAGCAGGGCAAATTCCTCTTATGCCACTGGCTTTTAGGTCTGACATGAAAGGGAGGGTGAGACGCATTTTCTCCTTGCAAACCCAACACATGGAGGGCTGGGCCCTGGACCCATCACTCTGTCAGAATATAATCTTGGTAGAAGCCAGCTCTTCTGAGTGCAAAGTGCAGGCACTTAAATGAATGAACCCCAAGATCAGATAACAAATTTCCTCTCACTAGAAAATAAAGGAGGTTGAAATATGGAGGGGGAGTGGATTTTCTCACCCTCTCCTTTTTACTCTTTTTTCATTTTGATTAAAAAAAAAAAAAAAAAAAAAAAAGAGGCCCTTTCTTTGTTACTCACACGCTACTTCCAGTGAAGTAAAATAAGAATCCAGAGTTTTCTAAATTTACATGTGGGAAGAATAAGAACTCACCACCTGAAAAGTTATTTCTTGTCAAAACAATGGGAGGCTTTCTACTCATTTAGAAATTAGAAAACTTACTTGTGTTTAACTAGAAATCAGCACAACCCATCCTTTATTTTAGCTTTTTTTCCCTACAAAACATGTTAGCTTGTGCCAAGGGTTAAAGTATCCATTCAACTCTGAACCGATTTGCCCTTGCTGAAGTCTTCAACTCCACTTAGACCTGTCTACTACCTTACAGGCTACACGGGGTGCTCAAACTCTACTTGGAAAGACAACTAAACCTTCCCATCTGACTCAAAATAATTCTCACAAGCACAAGCTTATTTATAGGCTTATAGTGAGATGTCAGCACAGCAGAAGTGTACAGGAACAGACATTTCAAGAAGTTCACAAAATGACACCTCAGACAAATTTTTGCTTGTGATCTACAGAAACAAGGACTAGATAATATAAACTACAAATAATGAAGACCATGCATTTCTTACTGTTATTATTTAGACAGAAATTATAACATTGAAGCTCATTTCTTTTTAGCCCAAACATTTAATTGCCTGGATGTACAATAGTTGATTTATCCATTCATACACTGAAGGAAAATCTGGTTGCTTCAAGATTTGTTAAGATTTATTTATCTATTTGAATGGCAAAGTGAGTGGGAGAGAGAGAGAGGGAGAGGGAGAGGGAGAGAGAGAGATGTTCCTTTGAGAGGGAGAGAGAGATGTTCCATTCATTGGCTCACTCCCTCAAAAATGGCTGCAATGGCCTGGGTGGGTCCAGGCGGAAGCCAGGAGCCACGCACGAGCCAGGAACTCCATGCAGGTCTCCCATGTGGGTGTCACGGGCTCAAGAACTTGGGCCATCACCTGCACGTCAGCACTAAGATGGATCTGAAGCAGAGCAGTCAGGATTGAATTGGCACTCTGATATGGGATGCCTGCGACACAAGCAGGAGCTTACCCTGCTACCAAAATGCTGATTCCTAGCTTGAAGCTTTAACTCTCATGAACAAGACTGCTGTGAACATCCATAAGCAGGTTTGTGCGTGGAGGAACCCTTTTTCCGAAACAAACCTGAATGTACCAGCCTGTTGTGGCCCCCTCCTGACAGCACCTTGGAAGCATCCCATGGACTGCTCAGAATCTCCATTAATAAAATCATAAAGCCACATGAAGTGGTTAAGAACATGAACTCGGGTAACTAAACGCATGGGCTTTGAAGGAATGAGGTTTGAATTCAGGCTCTGTCATTCACTCTGTCACTCAAGCATTAAATTCCTTATGTACAAAATAAAAATAACTCCCTCCTGGGCTGCTGTGAGAGCTGGAACCCCTGTGTATAAAGAGGAACATGGTGCCTGCTACAAAGGAGCACCTGGTAAAGGTGGTTGGGTCAACTTTAACTATTTTTAATGAATTTATATTCATCTTATTTTAAAGGCAGAGAGACAGATGGAGAGAGATCTTCCATCTGTTGCCTCATTTCCCAAATATCCACAACATCATGGGCTCGGTGGCTGGGCCAGGTTGAAGCCAAGACTCTGAAACTCAATCTGAGACTCTACATGGGTGGTAGCAGGGACCCAAGTACTTGAAGCATCATTTGTTTTCTTACCGGGTTCACATTAGCAGGCAGCTGAATTGGGAAAAAAAAAAAAAAAGGAGCCAGGACTCACATCAGCTATTCAAGTATGGAAGTGTTGACTTAACTGCTGCGCCAAATACCAGCCCTTGATATTCTTATAGAATCATTTAATAAACAAATGTCCAAATGGTGAATTGGCTTCTTGTAGCAGAGCAATGACTGGTCTTCCAAGTTCCTTACAACCAGTCACTCACTGAAAGTTCCCAACTTATTCAATCTGTTTCCACATTGGGCTCCTGTGATTTGTGTTAGCATGATTTTTCTCTAGCACTGATGTTGACAAGAGTGTTTTGCCAACGAGCTTGAGCATCAAACCAAAGTGTGTCTATTTTATTTGACTTTCTTGACAGGCAGAGTGGACAGTGAGAGAGAGAGACAGAGAGAAAGGTCTTCCTTTTTGCTGTTGGTTCACCCTCCAATGGCCGCTGCAGCCGGTGTGCTGCGGCCGGTGCATCGCGCTGATCCGAAGCCAGGAGCCAGGTGCTTTTCCTGGTCTCCCATGTGGGTGCAGGGCCCAAGCACTTGGGCCATCCTCCACTGCACTGCTGGGCCAAAGCAGAGAGCTGGCCTGGAAGTGGGGCAACGGGGACAGAATCCGGCGCCCCGACCGGGACTAGAACCCAGTGTGCCGGCGCCGCTAGGTGGAGGATTAGCCTAGTGAGCCACGGTGCCGGCCTGAGCATCAAACCTTAAACTACTGTGGCTCTACAGCCACCTGACATGGATGTAACTCTCCAGGCATACTTTAAATAAAGCTGCTGTTCACGTTACCTAACACAGCAGCTTCCAAATTCTTGGCACCTAGATCACTCATCAGTTACAATGTTTTTTAACAAATCTGAGAGGGAAAGTTAAACTCTGACAGGCAGATGTGTGTTCTTCGCTGTGGGAAGGAGTCATTCCAGATTCCAACCAGAGGAGGGGTGAATTCTACCAAAGGAAGAAGAGGAGAGGTGTAGCCACAAAAATTTCCCAAGTAAATGACATATATTATTTAACAGATTGTCATAAACCTGACCTGGTCAATATTTGTTGAGCTTATTAAAAATCTTCACTTGAGGATTACAGAGGCACTAGCAAAAATATTATAGGTGTCTCTTTCTTGGATTCTATTTTGAGTAGACACACACTGGGATAGAGTTGAAGGTTACTGTCTGTCTCCCCTCACTGTCCGGCTTTGTGGCATCCTACCCTCTCTGTTTGGGGGCTGTATGAGGCTCAATATTAAACAGGAGGCATACACCAAAGAGAGCAAATCCAAACGGCAAACACACAACACTGAAATTCAGAATCAGGTCAAGAACCAACAGGCCATGCTCTTTACGATGTAGCAAAAAGTACAGAAATATGTCTACAATCTCCCAAGCTAAAGCACACAAGCTACTCTCTGGGAACTAGAAATTCTCAAACCATAGAGGCTTTTTTTTTTTCCCTAGGCTGCCAGGAAACTACTGAGAAAATCAGCCACAGATCCACCATCCCTGCAGCTGGCTCAAGTGTGCAAGGCCTCAGCATCTCCATGCAGGGAAAATGTCTGTTTCTATCTGTTTGTCTTTCCAATACCATAAAGACCTAATACGAGTTGGCAGTTTGTTTTCATATTGATCAATGGAAACCAGGCAATTGTGTATGAAGTACAATTTCAGACAAGAAAGAAGGCATGGGTTATTGTGAGATTCTCCCAGAAGACAATATAATGATATAAAGTTGTGTTTGAGGAAATAAATTGATTTCAGATTATCTTAAATGGCCATGAAAACGGCTTACAAGAAAAAGAGTGGGGTAGACATGTGGTCTAGTGGATGAGA